AAAAGTATATGCGGAAATGTTTTTAGGGTTTTTGAAAACCTGACAAGAAATGATTTATTTTTTGGCCTCGTGGGAGGTGTCCCTGGCCATGGCAGGGGGGTTGGAACTAAATAATCTTTAAGGTCCCATCCAACCTAAACCATTCTGTGATGCTATGATTCTATTTTAGAAAGACAGACAGTCTCCTGCCATTTCACACAGACAGCGGCACCTCCCTCCTTGCAAGGACAGGAGAACCAGAGGGAGAAAGAACGATCAGAATCAAAAATGAAAGTGGTCGGGTTAGACGCCCAGCTCCAGCTGTGCAAAACTCCCACCTTGGGTAATAGCATTAAAGGTGTGCTTTTTTAGGATTTAATACTAATAAGGTATCTGAATGTGTGGGCTGGAGGGCACAGAGATGAGCCCAACTGTTTGCACTTCAGTGATGCAGAGAAAGCTGGCAGTGACCACGTCCAACCTCTTGAACAGTGGTGGGAAATGGCCTCCCCAGTCACGTCTGCTTCATGCTTTCATCTGCTCTTTCAGCAACAGAACACCAGTTAGATAGAGACCTGGGCCTGGCAAAGGATATATCATTTCCACTGAAAATAAGTAAGGATCCGTTTTTCCTTTAACATACCTGATTTTTTTTATCATGAAGTTGTCCTGTTAAAAAGATGAATATTTTCTATATTCCTGATTCAGGAAAGTATTTGAGTGCTTTCTCAAATAAGGGATGGATTTGAAGCACACGCTGAAGGGTTATTCACACGCAGGGATCTCATTTCTGAACAAGGTGACAGGGAGACCAGAACGCTTTGTATGGATGAGGTTTAACCCAGCGTGATCTGCTGAGATCAGGGGAATCACTTCCATTTTTCACGGGCACACAAGCAGAACTGGGGGTCCAGGGACACTGAAAGCAAAACAAATGCTGCTGTTTGAAAGTAAAGTTACACAGGAAAAACACCTAGGAAGAAACATACTAATAAAAAAAAAAAAAAGTCTAGGAAAGATCAAAGAAGCAGTTGTGGCTTAACTGACACCTGTAACTTTATCTCTTTCTCTAGTTACAGGGGAAAGAAGGATACATGAGCGAGGACATACTCCCAGAGGGAGGAAATGTGGCATTTGACAGGTGCGAGAAGCCAATAAATTATGGGATATGTAGAACAGAAGAAACATCTATTTCCTTCCAAAACTGTCAGGGTTCAGTCTGTAGAAGATCAGAGAGAGATGCTTAAGACAGAAGTAAAAGATGCAAAGGTTTGGGGTTTTTTTTGTTTGTGTTTTTTTTTTCCAGGAGGAAGGTAAAGGGATGGGGGAATATCAGTAAGAAAAGGAACTGAGTTGGAACTGTAAATCAAAATTTGCATTCTACTGTTATAAAAGTGTGGTAGGACATTTTGGCTTTGTTTTAATCATGTAAATGAGTTCAGGGCTGAATCCTGCTCTTAGAACCAGAAATGTCTGTAATATAATATCACACATATTCTGAACACTGTGGGCTGTCTAGTCTGCTGGAATTTGGCTAAAAATGCCAACTTTCTTACTTGTCCTTAAATGTTACAGTCTCTTCCACAGAGGACAAAAAATAGCCATCAGTCTGTGAATATACAAAACACTGATAGTGACAGCAACGTGAGGCTCTAACACGATGCCTAAGTGTCCAACAACACCCAGTGTCTCTGAGAGTGGTGCTGAGCAGCCCTGGCCAGGCTGGAGGCTGCACTCTGTTCACCCTTGCTCTTGGTTTGAATCTGGTTTGAACTTGTGCTTCTGCTGTTCAAGTGAGGGCTTGTGATGGTATAAGCAGAAATACTTCATTATCTCTTCTGCCGTAGGCAAGTGCAGCTGAGTGCAAGTGTATTCCCATTAAGTCATGTGCATTAACTGTGCACTACTGGTAGGGAACTAGGAAACTACTACACAGTCACCAAATTGTTTTCTTTCTTTCCTCCCATCCTCCCCTTACCAGGAATGGATTAAAAGTGCAGTCTCTTTTCTTTTTCTGTCCTAAAAGGGGAAGGAAATGGCAGCTTGAAGCTGAGAGCAAGATTTCCCCGTAATGTGAAACAGTACACTGGCCCTGGTGTGAAAGGAACTACGCTGATTTACATCCAGAAAGGCTGTGGCTCTCTAGCATACTAAATATCCCGTGCTATTGCTGCACCAGGTACTCAGCTGAGGTATACAACTGTCCAGTGCTCACAGTACTGTGGGGAAATGCTCCTTTAAAAAAAATAAAAAGTAAAAGCAGGCATTGTAATGCCATTATCTTTCATTATGTGGCTCTCACGGTGAAGACAAAAGTAACAATCCCATCAATGTCAACAGGATCAGAATATGGCCCTCAGAGAATATTTCATATTGTTACATCCTTTCATGACGCGAACAAAATTTCATTCCTGGATAACAGCCCTGGTTTATGATAGGAAATAAGTGCTCTGTCACACCCCGATAATTAGTACATCACAGGCAGAATGTAAAACCAGGCAGTAAAATGACACTAAGTTTCTGGCAGAACTTTGAGCCACATATAAACCAGGGGGTTCTTTACTGTGAGGGTAGTGGAGCACTGGAACAGGTTGCCCAGGGAGGTGGTTGAGGCCCCTTCCCTGGAGATATTCAAGGAGAGGCTTGACGAGGCCCTGGGCAACCTGGTCTAGTTGGGGGTGTCCCTGCTGACTGCGGGGGGGGTCGGACTAGATGGCCTTTGGAGGTCCCTTCCGGCCTGGGCAATTCTATGATTCTATGATTCTAAGACATGGTTGTACTCCTTCCTTTCGGAGAGGCTGATAATAGAAAGGTCAATGCCTCAGGATAAAACAAAATACTGAAGATAAGCTCACGCTGGAAAGCAGTGACAAAGCCATTGCTGCATTTCATATTCACACAGTAAAAATCTCAGCACAAGCAGCTTTGGCCATATGCCTTTCTTGGTATATAAAGAACTTCTTAAAAAACGCTGGGAGTTGAACGGATCTCAGTGAGGCGACTATCGCTGACCATATGTGATGAAGGAAGAGTCTGCTGCGAAATGTGTTTTTTTCCTTTTTTTTTTTTTAAACAGAAATGAGCATTTCAGTTTTCTGCAAAGATAAATGCAATTTCTTAAGCACTCTTCTGAGAAAGGGGAAGGAGGAAAGGGAGGGTACATACCATGAACGACACAGTGCAGATAGAAATGCAGGCCCTGGGTAGCAACGGAGACCCTGGTTTCCATCCATTGCAGTAGAAAATACATTTCTCACACTGCACATCCATAAATCATTATCTAGAAGGACAATGTAAAACTTTAAAAAGGTAAATTCGGAAACAATTTAAGGACTGCAGATAGATACACTAAACCAAACTGACACTCATATACTTTGGTGGAGAAGAACATGTAGGTCTTCTGAAAGATTTTTTTTTTAAAAATCGCCATGAAAATTAATTACTCAGTAACAGGAGATGAAACCTTTTGCAAATAGCTGATTTGAGTGATGTTTAGAAGGACAGGGAACGTCCAGGTTAAATGGATGTGTGATCTCCGTCACTTCCTGGTGAGCAGGGGTCTACATCCCAAAAACACCAGTGGGTGAGTGAAGCCAAGGAGTGAAGACGCTGTGACACCCCACTGCTGAGGACACTGCTATGACCATTCACCCACACAGCAGCTGGAGGAAGGTTTGCTTGCTAACAGGGCCCAGGAGAAAGTTTACAGTGAAAGCACAATGGGAGTGACACATCAGGCTGTGCTTTGGCGTACACAGCTTTGGTGCCACGCTGCGTTCCCCTAGTGGTGGCTCCAATTCAGGAGTTATTGCTAATATTAACTTTTTAGCCTAGTTTCCTAAGGAAATGAGGCTTAGGCAATCATTTTTTCTGGCTGGTTTCCCTAATAATTTTGAGCCTACTGACTGATGTCAGCCAAGTGGAATAGAGGGACAGAGCTCTCAAAGATAATTATGTTCCTCCAAGTTTTGTAAAAACGGATATCTGGAGAGGGAAAAGGGAGAGCAACCAAAATTTATTCCCTGCTAAAGAAAAAGCTGCAGCATGAGATCATCATTTAGGTATCAGAGGATCCACACGGAAGAGGTCTTCCTTTGGACAGAAAATGTCCTCTCTAACTGCTTGTTGCATCAAAAGTCCAGCAGGCACAGGCACTTTCAGACAGGCACTGTCATTCTGATTGGCCAATCGGGCCAAAACCATGACTGACACCAAAGTCAGTCAGCCCCAGATGCAAGCCCGCAGGAGACTTGGCTTCATTAGTTTCAAAGCCTGCAGAACCACCCGTGCCCCATCCAAGCACAGCTTCACGCTGACTCACCCTAGAAATTTCCCATATGACGCTATTCCCTGTGACATTTCCTATTCTCAGAAACTCTCCTCACAAGCCAAACACAGACTGAGCCTGCAAGTATCTTACTTACTGAAAGGTAGTTCATAATTCTCCTGGTTTTCAGCCTACCTTTGGCTGTCTCTTTTTATGTCAGTCAATAGTTGCAACACATTATAACACTGATACCATCAGCAACACCTTTGTAACATTCCCTTTGAATTCATTATCTACTTAGCGCAGGAATGATAATGACCCGTATCTGCTACATCAAATGGATGGTGCACGTCTCTGTGTATTCGCTCTGTGCAACCCATTGTTACATGTACATCAGCACCTAAAACTCAAAAAATTAAAAAAAAAAGCAAACCTGGATTTGTACCTGGGCGGTGCCACGATACGTCTGGTGGATTCCATTGAGCTCACTTGTACTTTCTCTTCTGAAGAGTTAAAATCCGACACGTGAGGGCAGACTTACAACACCAGTTTAGCCCCCTTTTCCAGAAAGTGTATGTCCCATTTGAAAAAAAAAAAAAAAAAAAAAAGAAAAGAAAGAGAAAAAAAAAGCAAAATCTCGTCAACATCTTGACCAGCTCTTGTTGAAAAATACTTCTCTTTGAGAAATCCAGGACATTCCTCTTTGCATTAATTGCCAGCTTATTAGTGGAATGAATGTTGCCAGTCTTTTCTCAAGCTGCTTGGAGGTGAAGAGCCTCTTTCTTTCTCTTTACCAAAAACAACAACAAAACATCCCAAGGGAGAAGAAAAGAGAAAAGGGAAAAGGAGCTGCTGAGAGCCAGGCTACATATTCATCTTCGAACATTGGTTTCCATGGGAATAAGTTTGGTTCTTTGTGGAGGCTGAACAGCCCCATGCAGTCTAATGCCTCCAACATTACATTTGTGTGGTCAACTTTCCTTTGGCCTCCCTTGGTCCCCTTCCTCCTCATCCCTGCTCAGCAACAAGACTGGTGACACAAAAATGAAGAAATCATTCAATAAATTGGCTGAATTAGGTTTGCATCAAAGCCCACTGAAGCCTTTGTACTGTCACCAGTGAAACTTGGATGTAGCCCTCACAGCGTAAAGCACAGCGGCTTCCAGTCAGCTTGTCAAAATGGTTACCCAGCCTTTGTCTGCCTCAACTTTTCTATTTTGATCGTCTCTGTCTCACTTTTGTCCTTTATCTTTGGGGTTGTTTTTTTTCCTTCTGCAGCTCTTCATTGCTTCTTAGTTTTGACAGATGGTGTAGAACATACAACTCTGGTTGTATTAGTGTTTAAAAGTGAATCATTACCTGTACACCATGAAGGGCAGAGGTTCACCAACAACTGCAAAAAGGACTGAATAGACTGAAAAATAGATTTTGGATGAAACCTAGCTTAAATCAAGAAGCATTTTTTCCTACATTAAATTCTTCAGAGGTTCACCTGCTTTACTCTTTTTGTTAAACCAAGGAAGTGAACAAAAGTAACATGACATTCCTGTTAGAGAGGGAACTAGATGAAGACTGGGCGATCTCAGTCAGGATGCAGCAGACGCTGCAGAAAAACTCATGGACTGTGTACTCTGTTTGATCTGACTACAATAATTTGCTAGTCTTCTTGTAATCCATTTTGACATAAAGTTTAAAAAAAAGAAACTGTTTATAAATCCATTACTCAGAAGCTGCCATGCAATACATTTTCATACATTAATCCTCATCGTTTTGCTAACTGTCATGATTTTTTTCTATTAAAGGAATAAAGCAAAAGCATGTTTTCATAAGTCACTAATAAAATATTTAGCACTTCCTATTGCTCCACTTTCAAAACTCCTCCTTCGTAAAAGCTTCTAGGGTCCAAAGTTTTTTTGAAAAAATGAACAAAAGAAAAACATATTAGAAATTCATGAAAGCCATTCATAGGCAGGCTGTAAGGACTACAGGAGTTTTCTTTTGTATGGATACTTTTTCCATTCAGATTTTGAAATGTATTTTCTCTTTCAAGACAGAGATGCTGATGGATTTTCAATTTTTAAATCCAAGATTAGGTCTAATTGCCTAATTTACTTTACCTATCCCTTAAAAAACTTAGCTGAAACTGCAGCATTTTATACTGTAACTCGGGATGTGTGGCTTGAAAGAAGCTATTGAAGCACAGAAAAATTGATCAATCATTTGATTGTCGATTCACACATCAGTGAAAGACAGGTAGAGCCATTTTAGTCTTATCGTTCCTATAAGAATGTTAGCAATTCAAGCCAATGAAGATCCATTCTGATAATGGAAGCAATAATGAAAGCTGGAACTTAGACCATGCACTAGCATTCGTGGCAGTACATCATCTCCCCTTACTCACAATAAGATGAAATGAGAAGGTTATTAGAAACACACGAACAATAAAGCTACTGTGAAAACTGCCTTCTATGGATCCAGGTTTCAATGGTGCAAGTGTGCTTCTTTCTTTCTCTCTAATTTCAACTCAGCTGAGGTCTTTTCCCATCTTCCCACTGCATTTCAGTCTAGAGCAGAAGCAAAGCAACCTGCAAGACACGTTTTCTTAATAGGCTGGAGCTATAGCTAACTATAACTAAGATTCAGGAAATCAAATAACACTGGTTTTTTTCTCCAAACAAAGGGGAAACATAAAGCTAACATTCAGAATTTGCTGGGTCTCACCAAAACAATTTGATACCTAGTAAGAAAATGAGACTGCACACCACTACTTGAGCTAACCATCAAATTCCAGGAGAGTCACTTTAGCCCAAAGTGAGTAAGTTTAAGCAAAACATGAAAGGGTAGTCCAACTTCTTGCTCTGCAGTCCTCCTGGCGTGGAAACATTTGTTGCCATGTATTCTGTAAACAAGGAAGAAGACTCAGTTTTCACGAATCATACTTCTAAGACTAGGAAAATTGACACATTTGAGACATTTTTTTCCAGAAATAACTAAAAGTGCAGAGGATAACTAGAAAATTGAAAGGCATTCCCACTTCTGTTATTGTTTGGCCTTAAACACATAACAATCCAAAACTGAGCAGCATGAACATTTTGTAAAGAGAGCTACCATCAACCCATTAGTTTCAATTTGGCACGGACACACTGGTAGATAATGACAAGTTAATATGGTCAAGTACAACAAAGCTACCAAAGCTAAAGAAACCCAGGACCTTCAGAACATGACTTTTGATGAGAAGTTATCATTGAAGGCTTAAACAAAGCTAGGAGTCTAATGGAGAGCATTTATTGATAATTGGGTTTTTTATGAACTTATCTGGCAAATATGTGTATAGTATACATTGCATCTCACTGTATTTAATGCCAAAATAACAAACCAAAACTGTGTTGGTTAGAGTTTCACTTACTTTTCAGACACTTTCAATGCAAAAAAAAAAAGAGATTCTTAGGGCAGCTGGATCCAGAAGACAATGTGTGCCTCTGCCCTGCTTCAAAAGCTGTCCCACACCTCCCTGACATAGAAGCTCCCTTGGAAGATCTTGCAGGCACAGTAACCTCCGCTTGGGAGGGTTATGGGGAGGTGGAGCAGTAACCTCCTAAAACAACCTGGATGGAAAAAGAGGCAGGTGAGTGTCCCTGGTTTTAGACACAGGATCCCTTTCCAAAGACATCAAAGAGGAGTAGGATGTGGTCATTTTTGTTCTTTAACTGCCTACTTAGCAGCGTGAGGGCTGAGGCACTCCCCTGGAAGGGGAGACTCCCATGCAGCTCCCTCTTCTGTTGTATCAGATGTGAACCATCAGAACCAATGGAGAAAAAAAAAAACCACATGACTATGCCTATACTTCCACAATCTTGCGGTCAGGGCATTTACCTGAAAGGGGTAATGCCTAGGGTATAGTCCATGGCCAAACCACAACTCAGGGTAAATCTTGCCGCTGTTTCTTTATGGCAAAAATGTCATTTTGCAGTGAATAAATAGAACTATCTTCCAATGAGCTTGTTAAGCCTTAAATTTTTTTTTCTGTTTTTATAAATAATTCCAGTTTCTAATATGTCATGTAGCAGCCATAAATTGGGGAGGACAGAATCTCACTCTCATTTTACAAAAGGACAAACATTATCTGCAAAGATGTAAAATACAGAAGAAACTGTGTAATTGGAAGCTTCTACTGCCTGTGCAAATTTATGTCACAGAGGAAAAGATTTGGACTCTCTACAAGTTAGAGTTAAAATTTTAATACCTAGGGTTTTTACTTTGATGATTGTGTCTTGATTCATCATATTTTCTCTCTGTAAATAGCTTGTAAGCTAGAAATTTCTGCAAGCCTGTCAACTTTCTCAAATAAATCTTTTTTTTTATCTTATTGATTTGTTTTCCGGAAGTATTTTCCTTTCTTTCTAATGTTTTATTTATCTAACAGTGTTCACATTTTTATCCCTAGAAACCTTTTCATTTGTTTTTTGTTGCTGTTTATTTGGTTTTTACTTTTTGTGTTTGGCTGCAGAAAAACAACTTGCATTTCAATAGCAATACTTTATACAGCTGAACATCCCAAAGTGCTTTACATTTAATTACACACTCATAGCAAAGTGACTATATGACAAATGTGGCCTTTGGGATGCGCAGAAAGGGGAAGGCAGGCAAGTCTTTCACAATCGGACCATCATGCACACACATGTGGCACTTTTCTTGCAAATGAGCACCACTGTGGGCTCTATATGTGATGCACTGGAGATGGCTGTGAGGAAATGAAAACAAGAATGAAAAAAACCCAACAAAACAGTCTTGTTTTTGCGAATTAAGAAAAGGTACCAGGCAACTTCTGGAATTCAGTGTGTTATCCTAATTCTCATGAAGAAACGTAGAATAATTCTTTTCACCCAGAGCAATACAGAAAAAGACATGTAATAAAAGGCATGCATAGATACCTTGTATTTATTTCCGTTTATAGCATGTGCTGCCTTATTTCTTTCCTCATCCTCTCATATGCGTCATTTTCTTCTGTAACAGTTTGCAGAATATGAACAAGAAAGCAATCCATAAAATGTTTGCTGCAGAACAGATCAAAAAGATATTTGGAAATCAAATTGTAGTTTTAATAATAAAATTGTCTCATTTTAGCCTCATATCTCTTACTTAATGGACAAAATTAATGAGGAATGTAATTAAGATGCATAATTTTTTATGACTGCTGCAGAAAGTTTCAGTGATTATGAAGTCAGTAAGAGATGTCTTTGGTCATACAATACTTTTAGCAATCAGTTGTTCAATAATTTAAACAAACTATTTTAATTTCTCATCCTGGGGCATCCAACAGTCTAGCATGTGTCAGACAAGTTGCATTAGACATTTAAGGTAACAGCTTTCATTTCTTTAGTCAGGTTTTCATGATAGTTGTTTTCTGAAATAGCTGGACAAGAGAAAAATTTAATCTGAAACTGCTTAGTAAATATGAGTAATATTCGTGTATTTGTCACAAACTGGTATTGTGGGATTATCATTCTCATTTCACAGATAAGAAAGCCCTGACTAAGGGGGGTGGTTAATTTTCTCAGACAAATTGATGTAGAAAGTCTACTGCTATGCCTAGAATAAAATCCCAGTCCAGTGCTTTATCCATCACATTACTATTTCTCAATGGTGGATTGCAAATGTTCTTGCAATGCATAACACTGAAATTGTTACATCAGGCTAAATTAAATAAAATCTGGTTTCCCCATTCCATTAT